TCTATCAAAAACAAAATCATTATACTATTTTTTGAATCAGAACAACCATGAGCAACCATGAAACAAACTCAAAAACATCACCAGCCAAGTGATAACCACCATTATGGATTAAAAAAAATAAGAATATAAGAATATAATTTGAGAGCTGATATATGCCAATCATGAAATTAGAATCAACAAACTCTATTCATTAGCAATCAAACATTTAGTAGTAGTCAAGGATTCTTCAAAATTAAGTGAAATTAAGGTTTTAGTTCACTCACGATTAGGGTTCTTCACTTTGAATCTTGGAATCTCCTTCACTTCGGAGCTGTCGACTTAACGAAGAAAGATTTTCAACTTGTATTGTTGTCTTGGTTGTAGTGGAGTGAGAGACCCCAATTTATGCTTGGAATAGAGCATTCTATGATGAAGATAACCACAACATGAACAGATATGTTCACAAGATTTGGTAGAAATTACAAATATATAACTCGTAAACAAAACCCTAAAATAACCTGTTTGATTATGTTGATTTACCTTGCGAGCCGAGTTCGAAGCGTTAGGAGCGAGCGAAGAGGGAGGGTTCGATTAAAAAACAAACATAGCCCACCAGAGAGAATCTTACCTTGCGAGACGAATTCGAGAGGCAGGAATCGAGGACTGGAGAGCAGTTTCGGGAGCAAGCAAAGATGGAGGGTAGGAAAGAAGAAGAACAGAGAGGTAGAGAGAGATAAAGAGGGAATGATAGGAGACGTGGGTGAGAACAGAGAAAGAGAGAGAGATAGAGAAGGAATGTGAGGAGACGTGGGTAGATGGGAAGCTTAGGAGAGAAATGTTTGGGAGGGAACTATTGTTGATCTGAACCATTAATATAAATTTAGGATTCATCTCAGTTGTTCAACCGAAATGTATCTTTGATACATTTTATATATTTTCAAAAATCGTTCTGTTTTATTATATAGATATTTTTTTTTTTGCAATTTACAATTTATAATTTTACAACTTCTTTTAACTCAATCCACATAATTACCTAGTATGGTAGTATACTAATATGATAAACTTTACATACATATTTATTAAAACCTAGTGCCAAAAGTGTTTGGAAAATTTAGTTCAAATCCCCTTATAATAAAATTTAATACATTAAGGATAAATATTAAAAAAAAAATCTTGAAAAATTCAGCATACATCACTATTATCAGAATATTCTTAGTGGCTAATTTAATATTTTAAGAACTTAAAATGATATAACTTTTGATCTAAATATCGATTTTTAATAAAATTGGTATTTTTAGAATCCTATCATCAAAATCTATAAAATAATATCTATCTTCACTAAGGCTTATCTTCCAGAACACTTTTCTGCCTTATTTCCAAGCTCAAGTTGATATTTACATTATCACCTTGAGTTTGAGGGGGGTGTTAGCTATACATAGTTGTGTTGCCATATATTGTGCATTACCATAGTTAACTTTCTTATAGGTTACTCCTTCTCAACCTATAAATAAGTCTCTTCTATTGTATTGTCAATTGTCTCATTCAATGTAATGTATACATATTTCTCTTTCTCTTTATCTCTCTATTAGATATTGAAAAATGCTATTATACACACCTATGAAATGTGTAGATGGTTCAAAACTTTAACTAAAATCAAATTAGTTCATAACAAAATATCATACAAGCCTCCTAACGAAATTATCAAAGTCTAATGTATAACTTTGATTCTTAACAAAACGACACAAAGCCTACTATAATGACTTGGGTTTATAACTAAAACTAATTTAGATCATTTATGTCACAGAAATCTCATATCAATCACCACAAAGTTTAAATAAGGAGTATATCTTTTGGGTCTTGAGAATAAGAGAGTTAAAACTTGAGGGCCTTCGAAATTATTAGAAAAGAAAATGGTAGACTCAATATACTTACAAAAACATCACATTTACTTTGTTTAATTTAGGCTTAAGCCAACCCTAGTCATTGACAGTTAAAACCAACTCAAACGAATACTCATCATTTTTGTTTTGGGGGGATTGTAACATTGCTGAAAACAAAAGAAGTTACAAAACAAAAACAGTCTCAACTACTACACCCCTGAAAAGACACATATGGTTTGTATCTGATAACAAAACCAAATTATTTCATAACAAAAACATCAAAAAAGTCTCATAAACAAATACTACAAAGTGGTATAACTAAAACAAATTTGGGTGATAACAAAAGAAGACCACAAAAGTATCATAGCCAACTACTGCAAAAGTGTCATAACGAGTTACACTACAGATTTAACACCACAAAATCACATAACCAAAGACTAACATGAGTGATTATTAAGACCATAAATCTTTATATGGCATATGATACATACCCTGTGCACTATATGGTTTGCCAAACAAAAAAATTACTCAAACATCAAGTGAAGATTGCAATGTTTTCCCCCAGTACATGGGCAACAAAAGCAAGCAAACAAACAAGACAGAAGAGCAATATTTGACTAGGACAAATGACTAAAGTATAAATTTCCAAATCTAGACTGGGGTAGGCTTCCAAGGTTAGCCAATAAATCATCAGCTGCATTTCTTTCTCTCAAAACACAAACATGGTCATTTGCTATCTTCTTCATTATGTGAGCACGATAGGACCCATGTGAAAACAATGTGCTACCTTTAGTCAATTAGGATACCTCTATAGTAGGGACTCTAGTGTTAACACATACGTTTTTTCTATACCTTTTGTAGTGGGGGCTCTAGTGTCAGTCTAGTTAGATCTAAACTGAACCAAAATTCACTCCAAAAGGAGAAAAGCTAGCTCCAATTCTTATTGACAATATGAAGAAACAATTTGACCGGAGGCCTTCGATATTATAGCATATGTTGCAACTTCCAAGAAGACCAAAGAACAACCAAGCAGCCACACCACCAAGAAATCTAGAATGTTGCCTAAGGTGAAATTTGGCAACTTCTCATTCAATATAACACAAAAAATGACATAGAATCCAAACGTAGTAACAAGCATAAAAGCTCGGAAATAAAATGACCATTCCATAACCATTTTCCATAGTGGAATCATTGCCGCAAGAAAACCAGATGAAAACCCAAATGTGAACAATATGAACGAAAAGAAATGAGATGGCCACATGTTACGGTGCAATATATCTCTAACTTTGAGTATGAGCTTTTCATACCCAGCATGCTGATTAGGCAAAGCGTAAAGAGCTGCAAATATAGTAGTTGCCACTATATCCCTGAATCCCACTAACCTAACTTGTTTTGTGACGAGGATCGTTTTGTTTGCATCTGTATTGTTCTCTTGGTTGTCACCTATTGTGGTATTCTGATGATCCATGGGTTGCATCCCATTATTTTTTAGTTGAATCTGAATCACGTTTAACTATATTAGACAAGCTTAAAAGATTTAACTCCAATTTGGCTATAGAATCAAGGTGTACTGCATTATTGTTAAGATTTTCTATTGTTAATTAGGCTTTTTACACTTTTATCAAAATTTCGCTTGTAGCAAACTCAAAGTAAATTATACTAGTTTCTTTTCTCAATCTAAATAATAAAAAGCCATGTGTTTTTTGGGGACAAATTTAAGAGACTAATTACAAAAAAATTTAAAAGAAAGAAAAAAATTTGTGCTTATGTATGAAACTCAGAGAGAGACCTCATATACACCTTCTGTTGGGATGCAAAGTATATTTGATAAGAGTTTGGGCAAGCTAGGAAGGTAATTTAGAAAGAAAAGTAGGATAATAGTGCCAATATGATAAAACTTGTTTAATGCAAATGATTACAAGTTTAGATTTCTTACATAGAAAATGTGAGCACATCAAGCTCTATTTACAGGGCTTCTCCACTAACCTATCCTCTTTTAGAGAGGTCTGATTTTTCTATATATCACCCAACACCATTATTATATGAGAGGGTAATTTTTGTGTGAACTTGGGCCAAGCTAAAACCAAATGGAAAATGGACCGAGCTATGGGCCGAGGTAATGCCCATCATAGCTTTGTCCTTGGTCCCGTTAGTTCGGTCAAGGATGTTTGCTAGTAGCCTAGTCTGGGTGCTCTGGACCGAGATATAGGTGGAAGGAGAACCGAGCTGTATGCCCAAGGTAACACCGAGCTAAGTGAGCACAGTTAAAACTGGTGTAAAGTAAGGCAGTGATAGCTCGGTTGTGCTGCTACCAGACCATGGTTAAACCGTCTCACATGGTTAAGCGGTGAGGAGGGTGTAAAAAGATAAGCATTATCTTTGTGATTCCTAGGAGGACTCTACTAAAGAGAGTTGAAGTCATACTAAGATTGTGCCAAGCGGAATCTATAAAAGCTCATGACAGGACTTATGTACAGGTATCACAATTTTTACTCTCAAATACACAGAGTTTTTGTGTCTATTGTCTATTTGCTGACTTAGGCATCGGACAGGTTTCCGACACACACCCGCCGGCTAGCTCACGTTTTTGTTTTCATGTAGTAAAGCGACGACATTTGAAGGAGTGCAAACTTGATCAACAGGATTATACGAGAAGATTATTTCGTGCTCGTAGAATTGGCGCCATCTGTGAGAAGAACAAAGAATAAGACCTTTTGATCAAGTTTTCCTCATTAGTTGAAATCAATGGCGTACAATGAAGATTTGCCACAATCTGCTATTGATGGGCAAAGCCTGGAGGGGGGCGGAAGGCGCGAAGGTTTACCTTCTATCCCACCCATGGTAGAATTAGACCCCCAGCAACGGAACTCCCAGAGGGACACACAGGAGAGATGGGGCACCGGTCCTCGTCGCTCTCAAAGTCCTGAAAGGCAGAGGTAGAGGTTGGATCCTTAGGTTCTGGAGGATCGCGTGAGGGAGCAAGACGAATTAATAAGGAGGATGGCGGCAAACATGGAGACTATGAAGCGCCAGATAAAGGGTAAAGGGGTGGCGACAAAAGAGGGGCGCAAAGGCAACACGCTCTCTTACTACTCGAAAGATCGTGACAGACAAGTCACACCATCACAAGCTAAAAGTAGGAGCCCTAGAACAGGTGACACTCAATCAAGGACTTCTACGACTCGTTACTACAAGTCTGAGAGAATGAGGACTTAAAGGTTATATACGGAAGGAAGCAGCTATCGGCCCTCGCACATGCACCAAACGACATCTAGGCACATGAAGTTGCCGAGGTCAGCAGACCTATGAACAGTGCTAAAGGAGAGGGCCCGATGGAAGGAAGTCACTAGGGCTTGCGACCCTCGTAGGGTTTCAGGCCTATAACGATTGGCCCCTAGGACACATGGAAGTGTCGAGGTAGGGATGCTACTACCGCGCCTTGCGTATGAACCAGAAAATAAAGTGTTAGAAAGGTTACAGAGCTCGCCGTTCGTTCTGACAATTGAGAACGCACCGCTACCCTTAGGCTTCCACCAGCCCAAATTCACTACTTATGAGGGGAAGTCAGACTCCTACATGCACTTAAGCCACTTTTGCCAAGTTATGGCAGTATACTGGGGAAACGAGGCTCTAATGTGTATCCTGTTTCCTTCCATCCTTGGTGACCTAGGTCTAACATTGTTCGAAAGGCTACCAGAAGGCAACATAGCCTTATGGGCGTAGTTGGCGGAGTTGTTTATGAATAGATTCAGAATGAATACCAAGACACCAGTGGAGATTGACCAGCTACTTTTCATTGACATGGGCAAGAAGGAAACATTGAGGTCTTACAACAGTCGATATTGGGAGACTTTCAACCAGATCGGGGATTGCCCTACAAACCTCGCCATCGCACAGTACAAACGAGGTTTACAGGTCGGTAACAAGTTGAGGGATTCAATGACGATGATGCCACCCCTCACGATGGAGGCCCTAATGGAGAGAGTGTATCAACATATCCAGGTAGAAAAAGATAGTGCCCCCGCTAAAGCAAAATCTGGCACGACAGCGATGCCGGATAAAAAGACTACAGCAAAAGTCAACACAGTAGAACAACCAAGCAAGAATGGGCGAGGCAGACGTCCCAACTCCTCCTTTTTTAATTATTGAAGTGTTACAGAAAATTTAATTTTCTGTGTGGAATTAATTTGGTTAAATAAAATTTTATTTATTTCCAAATTAATTGAAAAATAAAAGTTATATTCTTGTTTCTTTTATTTTTACAAAATTTAATTCTGTGAATTTGGATTAATTTTATGTGTAGTATAAATTCTAATTATAATTTTGTTTTATAATTTAGAATTCATGGCTACTGAAACTAATGCCCAAACAAGTACTTGTGTGGTAGCTGCAATTGCGCCAACCTCCTCTCCTGTTGTGACGATACCGGTAAATCACAGTGAGAAGCCAAAGAAGTTCTCTAGAACTGAATTTAAAAGATGGCAGCAAAAAATACTGTTCTATCTTACAACTTTGAACCTAGCTCGTTTTCTCCGTGAGGATGCTCCTATTTTGAAAGAGGATGAAACTGATCGGCAAGTGGTTGCTGCGATCGATACCTGAAAACATACTGATTTCCTTTGCCGGAACTACATCTTGAACGGACTTGACAACCCATTATACAACGTCTACAGTCCTATCAAGACAGCAAAGGAACTTTGGTAGTCTTTGGAGAAAAAGTACAAAATAGAAGATGCTGGCACAAAGAAATTTGTGGTCGGCAAATTCTTAGATTTTGTGATGGTTGATTCTAAGACTGTGATCAGCCAAGTTCGTTACTCCTTCTCAACCTATAAATAAGTCTCTTCTATTGTATTGTCAATTGTCTCATTCAATGTAATGTATACATATTTCTCTTTCTCTTTATCTCTCTATTAGATATTGAAAAATGCTATTATACACACCTATGAAATGTGTAGATGGTTCAAAACTTTAATTAAAATCAAATTAGTTCATAACAAAATATCATACAAGCCTCCTAACGAAATTATCAAAGTCTAATGTATAACTTTGATTCTTAACAAAACGACACAAAGCCTACTATAATGACTTGGGTTTATAACTAAAACTAATTTAGATCATTTATGTCACAGAAATCTCATATCAATCACCACAAAGTTTAAATAAGGAGTATATCTTTTGGGTCTTGAGAATAAGAGAGTTAAAACTTGAGGGCCTTCGAAATTATTAGAAAAGAAAATGGTAGACTCAATATACTTACAAAAACATCACATTTACTTTGTTTAATTTAGGCTTAAGCCAACCCTAGTCATTGACAGTTAAAACCAACTCAAACGAATACTCATCATTTTTGTTTTGAGGGGATTGTAACATTGCTGAAAACAAAAGAAGTCACAAAACAAAAACAGTTTCAACTACTACACCCCTGAAAAGACACATATGGTTTGTATCTGATAACAAAACCAAATTATTTCATAACAAAAACATCAAAAAAGTCTCATAAACAAATACTACAAAGTGGTATAACTAAAACAAATTTGGGTGATAACAAAAGAAGACCACAAAAGTATCATAGCCAACTACTGCAAAAGTGTCATAACGAGTTACACTACAGATTTAACACCACAAAATCACATAACCAAAGACTAACACGAGTGATTATTAAGACCATAAATCTTTATATGGCATATGATACATACCCTGTGCACTATATGGTTTGCCAAACAAAAAAATTACTCAAACATCAAGTGAAGATTGCAATGTTTTCCCCCAGTACATGGGCAACAAAAGCAAGCAAACAAACAAGACAGAAGAGCAATATTTGACTAGGACAAATGACTAAAGTATAAATTTCCAAATCTAGACTGGGGTAGGCTTCCAAGGTTAGCCAATAAATCATCAGCTGCATTTCTTTCTCTCAAAACACAAACATGGTCATTTGCTATCTTCTTCATTATGTGAGCACAATAGGACCCATGTGAAAACAATGTGCTACCTTTAGTCAATTAGGATACCTCTATAGTAGGGACTCTAGTGTTAACACATACATTTTTTCTATACCTTTTGTAGTGGGGGCTCTAGTGTCAGTCTAGTTAGATCTAAACTGAACCAAAATTCACTCCAAAAGGAGAAAAGCTAGTTCCAATTCTTATTGACAATATGAAGAAACAATTTGACCGGAGGCCTTCGATATTATAGCATATGTTGCAACTTCCAAGAAGACCAAAGAACAGCCAAGCAGCCACACCACCAAGAAATCTAGAATGTTGCCTAAGGTGAAATTTGTCAACTTCTAATTCAATATAACACAAAAAATGACATAGAATCCAGTCGTAGTAACAAGCATAAAAGCTCGGAAATAAAATGACCATTCCATAACCATTTTCCATAGTGGAATCATTGCCGCAAGAAAACCAGATGAAAACCCAAATGTGAACAATATGAACGAAAAGAAGTGAGATGACCACATGTTACGGTGCAATATATCTCTAACTTTGAGTATGAGCTTTTCATACCCAGCATGCTGATTAGGCAAAGCGTAAAGAGCTGCAAATATAGTAGTTTCCACTATATCCCTGAATCGCACTAACCTAACTTGTTTTGTGACGAGGATCGTTTTGTTTGCATCTGTATTGTTCTCTTGGTTGTCACCTATTGTGGTATTCTGATGATCCATGGGTTGCATCCCATTATTTTTTAGTTGAATCTGAATCACGTTTAACTATATTAGACGAGCTTAAAAGATTTAACTCCAATTTGGCAATAGAATCAAGGTGTACTGCATTATTGTTAAGATTTTCTATTGTTAATTAGGCTTTTTACACTTTTATCAAAATTTCGCTTGTAGCAAACTCAAAGTAAATTATACTAGTTTCTTTTCTCAATCTAAATAATAAAAAGCCATGTGTTTTTTGGGGACAAATTTAAGAGACTAATTACAAAAAAATTTAAAAGAAAGAAAAAAATTTGTGCTTACATATGAAACTCAGAGAGAGACCTCATATACACCTTCTGTTGGGATGCAAAGTATATTTGATAAGAGTTTGGGCAAGCTAGGAAGGTAATTTAGAAAGAAAAGTAGGATAATAGTGCCAATATGATAAAACTTGTTTAATGCAAATGATTACAAGTCTAGATTTCTTACATAGAAAATGTGAGCACATCAAGCTCTATTTATAGGGCTTCTCCACTAACCTATCCTCTTTTAGAGAGGTCTGATTTTTCTATATATCACCCAACACCATCATTATATGAGAGGGTAATTTTTGTGTGAACTTGGGCCAAGCTAAAACCAAATGGAAAATGGACCGAGCTATAGGCCGAGGTAATGGCCTGCATAGCTTTGTCCTTGGTCCCATTAGTTCGGTCAAGGATGTTTGCTAGTAGCCTAGTCTGGGTGCTCTGGACCGAGATATAGGTGGAAGGAGAACCGAGCTGTATGCCCAAGGTAACACCGAGCTAAGTGAGCACGGTTAAAACTGGTGTAAAGTAAGGCAGTGATAGCTCGGTTGTGCTGCTACCAGACCATGGTTAAACCGTCTCACATGGTTAAGCGGTGAGGAGGGTGTAAAAAGATAAGCATTATCTTTGTGATTCCTAGGAGGACTCTACTAAAGAGAGTTGAAGTCATACTAAGATTGTGCCAAGTGGAATCTATAAAAGCTCATGACAGGACTTATGTACAGGTATCACAATTTTTACTCTCAAATACACAGAGTTTTTGTATCTATTGTCTATTTGCTGACTTAGGCATCGGACAGGTTTCCGACACACAACCGCCGGCTAGCTCACGTTTTTGTTTTCATGTGGTAAAGCGACGACATTTGAAGGAGTGCAAACTTGATCAATAGGATTATACGAGAAGATTATTTCGTGCTCGTAGAATTGGCGCCATCTGTGAGAAGAATAAAGAACAAGACCTTTTGATCAAGTTTTCCTCATTAGTTGAAATCAATGGCGTACAATGAAGATTTGCCACAATCTGCTATTGATGGGCAAAGCTTGGAGGGGGGCGGAAGGCCCGAAGGTTTACCTTCTATCCCACCCATGGCAGAATTAGACCCCCAGCAACGGAACTCCCAGAGGGACACATAGGAGAGATGGGGCACCGGTCCTCGTCGCTCTCAAAGTCCTGAAAGACAGAGGTGGAGGTTGGATCCTCAGGTTCTGGAGGATCGCGTGAGGGAGCAAGATGAATTAATAAGGAGGATGGCGGCAAACATGGAGACTATGAAGCGCTAGATAAAGGGTAAAGGGGTGGCGACAGAAGAGGGCGCAAAGGCAATACGCTCTCTTACCACTCGGAAGATCGTGACAGACTAGTCACACTATCACAAGCTGAAAGTAGGAGCCTCAAAACAAGCGACACTCAATCAAGGACTTCCAAGACTCGTTACTCCAAGTTTGAGAGAATGAGGACTAAAAGGTCGCATATGGAAGGAAGTAGCTATCGGCCCTCACATATGCACCAAATGACATCTAGGCACATGGAGTTCCCTAGGTCAGCAGATCTGCGAACAGTGCTTAAGGAGAGGGCCCGATGGAAGGAGGACACCAGGCCAGGGCTCACGACCCTCGTAGGGTTTCAGCCCTGTAACAATTGGTCCCTAGGACACATAGGAGTGTCGAGGTAGGGATGCCAATGCCGCGCCTTGCGTATGAACCAGCAGATAAAGTGTTAGCAAGGTTACAGAGCTCGCCGTTCATTCCGACAATTGAGAACGCATCGCTACCCTCAGGTTTCCACCAGCCCAAATTCACTACTTATGAGGGGAAGTCAGATCCCTACATGCACTTAAACCGCTTTCGCCAGGTTATGGCAGTATACCGGTGAAACGAGGCTCTAATGTGTATCCTGTTTCCTTCCAGCCTTGGTGACCTGGGTTTAACATGGTTCAAAAGGTTGCCAGAATGCAACATAGCCTCATGGGTGCAGTTGGCAAAGGCGTTTATGACTAGATTCAGAACAAATACCTAGACACCAATGGAGATTGACTAGCTACTCTCCATTGACATGGGTGAGAAGGAAACATTAAGGTCTTACAACAGTCGATATTAGGAGACTTTCAACCAGATTGGGGATTGCCCTACAAACCTCGCCATCGTACAGAACAAACGGGGTTTACCAGTCAGTAACAAGTTAAGGGATTCAATGGCGATAATGCCACCCCTTACGATGAAGGCCCTAATAGAGAGAGTGCGTCAACATATCCAGGTAGAAGAAGATAGCGCCCGCGCTAAAGCAAAATCTGGCACAACAGCGATGCCGAATAAAAAGATTGTAGTAAAAGTCAACACGGCAGAATAGCTAAGCAAGAATGGGTGAGGCAGACGAGCCAATAGAGAGGACCCCCAAACAAGGAAGTTGAGAGTCCGTACTACTATTACCACAGTATTCAACAAACCTATCTACCGGATTCTTAGCGAGATATGCGATGAACCCTTCGTTCGGCGGCCATCCAAGTTGGGAGAAGCACAAAGAGGTTACGATAAGAGGTACCGTTGCACCTTCCATGATGAAAAGGGGCACTGCACTGAAAATTGTACACCATTGAGGCAACATTTAGAGGAGTTAGTGGTTGTTGGTCACCTGGACCAGTATATAGAAGGGGGAACATAGCCAGCCCCCCAGGACCACAGCAGGCCGAGCGGGATGCCGATCGACGGTCCACCCCAAGGCATAATCAATGTTATACATCAGATTTTTGAACTTGAGCGGGTATGTGAGCTCAGAGGGATGATTAAAAAGGCTGAGCACTTGAGGGAGGTACTAAGTGCACAACCTATCGTCAAAAGGGAAAAAACGGAGGCAACGAACGTCATATCCTTCTCAGATAGGGATATAGCAAGGCTACATTGCCCTCACAATGACGCACTGGTGGTCACTTTGCGCATCAAGAATTTTGACATCAAACGGATTCTGATTAACCAAGGAAGCTCATGCGAGATAATGTACTACGAGACCTTTAAATAACTAAATTGGAGGACAAAGACTTGGTGCCTGCGACATCTCCCCTCGTCAGTTTTAACTCAATGTTAGAATGGCCAGTGGGCAAGATAATTCTGCCAGTCAAGGCAGGAACAATGACAAAATAGGTGGAATTTTGGGTATCGAAGGTCCTTTCCACTTATAACATAATCTTGGGAAGAGCATGGTTGCACGCCATGCATTCGGTGGCATCAACTTATAATCAGGCACTACGGTTCCCTAACGAAATTGAAGAAGTCTTAGGAGACCAAAAGGGTTTGTACAGATGGTAGAGGAGCCAGAAAACAATGAACTGTTTGCAAATGTCAGCAAAGCATCCGAACATAAGGCAATGGAAGACTTGGTAGAGGTAAGGATAGATGAAAAGAACCCAGAAAAGTTCTTTTTGCTCTACTCGTCTTTGTCCAGCACTGAGAGAATAGAAGTCATGGAATTTTTAACCTCTAACATTGAAGTTTTTGCCTGGACACCGTACGACATGCTTGGCATTGACCCTAATTTCATCTGCCATCAACTTAATGTCCATCCAACTGCCAGGCCAATTATACAGTGAACTCGCCGATCGGCACTCCATTACACAGAGATAGTGGTGGAGGAAGTGAGAAACTTACTGGAGGCAAGAGCAATCAGAGAAGTACACTATCCCAGGTGGATCTCTAACACTGTAGTAGTGCCAAAAAAGAACGGCAAATGGCGCGTTTGCGTGGACTACAAAATAGTTAACAAAGTATGCCCAACAGACAGTTTTTCCCTATCATGGATAGGCCAACTGGTGGACCTGACAGTAGGGCATAACCGACTTAACTTCATCGATACGTATCGGGGTTACCATCAGACTGCTATGTATGAACCAGACCAGGAGGTCACGTCGTTTAGAACACCTAGAGGACTATACTGTTACAAGGTCATGCCCTTTGGTCTAAAGAAAACAGGGGCTACATTCCAACGGATGGTCACCAAAATGTTTGAACCATTATTAGGCAGAACAATAGAGGCTTACATAGATGACATGGTGGTCAAAAGAAAAGATGAGAAAAACAATAGAGACCCCCACAAAATACAACCCCCACAACCCCAAAAATAATTTGAACCATTCATGTCACTGTCAGACACAACTCCCAAAAAAATTTAAACACATCAATGGTCAATACATTAGTGGGGGTCATCTTTTGTAGGGGTCCCAAACATTTTCCTATAAAGGGGGCTTGTATTTTACGTTAAGAGTTGTGTTGTTTTCTGATCATAGTAAAAACCAGAACAGCTATAGACGTAGCCCTATTTTGAGGTGAACCACGTAAATCCTTGTGTTCTTGTGTGTGTGTGTAATTTGTTTGATTCATTTTATCTTTCTTATTTGTTATTTCGTGTCTCACCGATCTTAGACAGGAAGAGTTAATTCCTAACAGACATGTCCTTGTAAGGGATTGTTTGGGATGTTTTAAATAAGTGCACTTTTTGACTTTTTACGAAATATGGGTTGGGTTTGAAGCGATGTGGTAGAGAGGTGATGTGACTTAAATATGATAGTGACTCTTTGACTTTTGGCTTTTTTAGTATATGACAAACAAGGCCTAAGTATGCATAATCTAAAAAAAGTGTAATTAAAGTTGAAAACTAGTTCTTTGAAATGGTGATGCTATATATTTGAAAAATATATGTTACCTCCACCATTTTTTGTTTTGGTTCTT